AAAAACAATAATTGAAATGGGTATATATTTGTTTTTTGTTAAGTTGCCTAATAATTATGCACAGTAATAGTCACCTGCACACACAGATATCCCCCTAAAATAGCTAAAACTAAAAACAAACTAAAAACTACTTCCAAAAACATTCAGCTTTGATATTAATGAGTTTTTGGGTTCATTGAGAACATGGTTGTTGTTCAATAATAAAATTATTCCTCAGAAATACAACTTGCCTAATAATTCTGCACTCCCTGTACATGCCTGTGTTATTTTTTTAAGGTACATCCCTGTGCTCCTCCTCCTCTGTTCATATTTGATAAATGGGAGGGGTAGTTCTTGGAAGTAAAGTAAATAACATACATCAGGTTTGTGCAGTTGAGCTCTTGGTGTCATTTGAATGTTATCTTTGAAAGCACAGACATGGAATGGGAAGAAATATGTGAGTCTATTTTTTTAATAACAGTGTTATCCCATTATACAGTGGATATGAATTATTATTATTATTATTATTGTAAAGAATTTATTTGACATCTTTTTGTATTTCCTTAACAGGCAAGACGGTCCTTGTGTCTGCAGGTATGCCATGACATTAACCACAGCATAATTTTGAAATGAAAATCTTTAATATATGTTTTTTGGGGTTTTTTTAGGAGCTGGTGGAACTGTGATTCTGACTCCTGCCATTCTGGCTTCACTGGGGTTCACTTCAGCTGGAATAGCAGCAGGCTCCATCGCTGCCAAACTGATGTCATATTTGGCAATCGCTAGTGGAGGTGGAGTTGTAGCAGGAGGTCTCATAGCAACCTTGCAGTCCTGGGGTAAACCGAATAATTTACTATATATTATCTCTCTCTCTCTCTAAAAGCTTTGCTCATGTTGAATAAGCTAATAGAGCTAATAGTGTCTAACATGATTTCACTGTAGGTGCAGCAGGTTTGTCATGGGCTGCCACTGCATTATTTGGCAGTTTTGGCGGAGCAGCGGCTTGGGTGCTCTCAACTGTGTGTAACGTGACTGTAGTTTATGAAGATTAACACGTTAAAAGACAGAAACTGACCTACAAATGTTTTCTCCTGTGACAAATTTTAATCGCCTGGATGAAACGTTATTCTTATGTGTGAATGTCGAACACTGAGATTAAAGCATATTTTGAGAATTAAGTTACAAAAATGGTTCATAAAAATTTCATTCAGATTTTATCCATCATTAAAAACAAAAACAAAAAACAACTGATATGGTGCCTTTATTCTCTTCATTAATTCAATGTGAAAATTAAAAGTCATGCAAAAATAAGTGTTTCCTTGCTTTTATTGTAAACAACTTAATGTAAAGCACAGTAACAATATCATATGTTTCTATAGTCCATAAATCTATCACTCTTACAGAGCCACAACTCTGACGGGAGACTATGTAGGACAGGGGTGTCAAACTCCAGTCCTTGAGGGCCGGTGTCCTGAAACTTTTCCATGTGTCCCTGATGCAACACACCTGAATATAACTGACTGTATGCTCAAGTAAATTTGACTAAAATTGACTTACTGTTTCCCCAACCTCTGAGAGTATCATAGGTGTTGGCTGCACTTAGTGAAAATCTATCAGCATTTTGGAAACTGTTACACAAGACAGCTGAAAGAAAATGCCACAAACAAATCAACAAAACAGATGTTCAGTAATCTTTCATTGTTATCTTGGTCTCCTGGTGATGATGATAATCTGTGAGGTGACATTAAAATGGCCAGTCTTCATTTTAACTGTAAACTGAAAGAGAGAGAAAAACTAAAGAGATGCCAGTTATGTTCAGTTCTCACTGCACCCTTAAACCTGCCTTATCTGTATTCCATCTTTAAAGCTGTCTCGTCCTTGTATTGATGGCTAATAGTACAATTAGTTGCAATAATGCTTTAATACAATATTATAACTGAGATCACCTAAAGTTTAAAACTTTGTATTGTTGTAATAATTAGTTTAAAGTAAGACAATGAGGTAATAAACATTGCAAATGTTTAAATGATTTTTATTGAAGCTAATATAATTTTCTAAAGTGTTTGCAAAAACTGGTGGGAAAAAACTTTAGCAGAATAACAAGACTTCCAGTTGTGCCTAATAAATAGATATCACTTCAGTCCTGCTGATATCATAGTGTACTGTATTATTATCATCATAAGAACGCATAGCATACATTTTCACTGCTATACAGATGACACCCAACTTTATCTATCCATGAAGCCAGATAACACACATAAACATAAAGGCCTGGATGGCCTCTAATTTTCTGCTTTTAAATTTAGCTTTAGGCAGTCCTTGCCAAAGTGGGTTAAAACCTCTTGATGCATGCTCATTCAGGTAAGTAAATCCCCAAAAGTTGGTTGTGTTCATCTGGACGTAGCGTTTTGTGGGAGAAACGTTTCATCACTCATCCAAGTAACTTCTTCAGTCTCAGCTGACTGCAGGTTTCCCCAATCGTATAAACAGTACATTTGCATAATGACTGAAACTAGCACCACTGAAGG